AAAAAAGAGTTGAAATGGCTCCTGACAAATGACCAGAAATATTTTCCTAAAAATGAAACTTAGCTAAACGTTTATAAGCGATAATTTTGACTTTTGGGGAGGATATCGGGGAAAGATATTGGGGAAAGATGTCATCGTGCTTAGCTGTGTTGCAGTAGAAGGAAATGTTTTGGTTGTGTCTAGATAAAACCAGACCCGTGAGTGGGGCTCGAACTCACGACATTGCGTTCAGCTCACAGGTTACCCAACCTCAACGCTACGAGCACCTATCGCCCTGCGCAGCTTGCTGAGTGTTTCGGCTAAAGTTCGGCCAAAGTGTCTGACGTCTGTCAATGTCACGAGGCGAAACCCCAAGGTAAATGTCCGTCCCGGTAGCTCGGTCGGTAGAGCGTTGGACTCCATGTGCCATGTGGTGAAGGCGCACGTCCCGGTTGCAAAAGTCCGGGTTCGAAACACGACGTGTGCTTGACGTTTTTTAGCCTCCTGACGGGTATGGTTGTGGTTGGTGGCAGGCCGCTGCCAGGCGAAGTCAGTGAGGGGACCGGCCGTGCGCGGCTATGTGCGCACGTTAAAATTTGGACTCTGAACCATAGACCACTTTGCCATAGACTAAACCTCAAAACCATAGTCTGCAATAGACCAGAAATTGCTTGATCGGAGGGTAGATGGCAGGGTCAACGCTTAACAAGCTCAGCTTAGCGGGGACTCTGTCCTTGTGATTCCTTCCATTCAAAAGGTTCGGGCCAAATTTATATTAACCCTCGCCCGTAAACGGTGTTTTGCCACCTTCGCCCATGCAGGGGGGGGGGGGGTTGGTGCGACCCCCCTTGGCGTTTGAAAACGGAGCGTCGTAGAGCTTAGCGGAAAAGACCAACGGATTGCCCTCAACGAGATCTCGCGATTGGTGGTATATTTTTTGGTCCTAGGTCAACACTTGACCTACTTATGACCGGTCAAAGGTCAAATTTTCGGAAAAATCTAACTTTTTCAGATTTCCGCGCCGATTGCGGCAAAACGGTAAGAGATATCGACTTGAAACCTTCACTATCGTGATCCTTGATCAATTCCCTATCGTTTGGTGTGTATTTCGATGTCATAACTCTACAAATGATGCGTTGGGAGCATCGGAAGTCTGCAAGGTCATTTGTGCATTGGGTCACGTCAGGCGTGTGACGTCACTGACCTGACCCTGACCCAAAATGAACTACAAGAAAAACCAACGATGCCTGAAATGGATAGCAAATTCGAATTCAGAGCATCAAAATACCCCGAAAAGGCATAAAAGTGCAAAAAGTCATTACAGGTCATCCCAGGTAACTGACCTTACCTTGACCTTTAGCAACCTTCAAAATGTCAACGGACATTGTGCCAATGTCAAATCAGCCAGTTATGATTCTAAAACAATCCATCAGTGTGTCAGGTCAGTCGGCATTTATACCAATGTGAAGCAATCTCCAATTTAGCGTAAATCTGGCCGGAGGTTGTCCCCTTTATGACGTCATAACTCCGTGACCTGACATGACCTTGAAAAAAAAATACCAAAAGTTTCGCAAAGGATGCCCCATAGGGTACTGAAAATTTGAGCAGGCTATCTGAAACGGTTCGGCGTGTAGCTAAGAAAAACCTCAGGGGGGGGGGTTGCACCCCCCCCCCCCTACATGGGCGAGGGTTAAAAAAGGGGGAGCCGAACCAGGTTGGGCCGAGTTGAACCAGGCTGGACCGGGGTCATACATGCAATCATGGTCAGACAAAATAGAAGTTAATTTCGGGTCAAATATTTTTATTAAAGGGACCCTCCCACCTTAACATTAGTTTTGAGTTGAGATAGCCAAGTTTGCGGCCAGGCTCAGAAACCACCATTTGTCCTGGTCGCAACCCCCGCAGCTTTATGGTGTTCAAGAAATTTCTTCCCTTTACTTGCAGGGTGGGACCAGCGTGGTCCCTATCTCTTAACCATTACGGGAATCTGATGACGTCATCAGGCTTTCGAACGTCCGTTAAATGTTTGACTAAAACGTTTTGTAGCACGCGGTGGTATATGCTGCTTTGCGCGCAACAAATGCCGCACTTTCAAATAAAGTCGCTAGGAACAGCGGAGATCCCAAAAAGTAAACAAAAGTAAAAGTCTAATATCTTGAAAACCGGTGAATATTTTTCGATGAAATTCGGTAGATATTCGTTTTTGCTCTTTCTGAACCGAGCGACATCACTTTCATGCCAATTCATTAACTTTTTTGAAGGTGGTAGGGTCCCTTTAACTGATCTTATTGTTTTTTAGCTTATACGTATGATAACTTTTAGCTTTTTTTTTAACTCGAGACTTCATGCACAGAAATGTGGTGTTCGTCCACTTTTCCTCATCGTCTCTTAGCGACTTGATTTCATGTGGCGGCGGAACGGGGGGGGGGCATCGGGGCACCGTGCCCCCTTTTGATTTTGGCATTTTAACATTAGCCCTATGGGCGTTGCATGGAAAGAATGGGACCAAAAGTCGGCAGTGCCCCCACTTCATTAAAGGTGTTTCGCCGCCACTGCTTGATTTGACCCAAAGGCGTCTTACCAGCAAAAGAAAAAAATCACCTGCGTTATACCTAAATATTTGCCCAAGGGCGCTCTACACAAGAAACGCCAGCCGGTCAAAAAAACTGGCGAACGAATACGATCTTTTTAGTGCTTGAATTATATTCAATGAAAATTTCAGGAGACATAAATAATCTTAATCCTTATAACTAGCTAGGCGCTCGGAGCATTCGCTAGCATTCCATTGCCAGCTGCATTATCAACGCCACATTTGCATTACTCTGGGTGCATCATAAGTAACAGTAGGTGAACCGGCCACAGCAAAACCATGCCTCATTATCCTTTCCTTCCAAGCTGACAAGCTAACCGGCCGCCCGGCCCACCACCGCGATATGGAACAACACTGGAGTGCGCCATTTGCCTACGGCAGTGCCCCACCGCGCCGGGGCCGTTTGACAGGTCACCCGCACCGTGACCTCGCCACCCGCCCCCCCCTCCCCGCCCACCTCCCCATCGCGCCCAGCTCGGTAGTGACCTCTCCTTGAATTTGACATGGACTCGACTAAGGCTCAACGCCATCTAGTTACGTCTGGAGATCCTAATAAGATCCACTGTACGTGCCGCCTTATTTAATTCGATTAATGTCGAATTAATTATTTTTCGATTCTTTTCGATTCAAATAATTCGATTATTTAATCGAATGATGATTGATTGAGTCTTCAGGGAATGTCGAACATAGACGGACAAAATATGACATGCATTGAGTGTTGACGGAAACTAACGTGTCGTTATGTCAGCGACCTAGGATTCGTAGAACCCCGTACGTTTTGCCGTCCATTTGATCCTATCAGCCTCAGCTGAACGTGTCGGGGACGTCATTTCCTTTGATGACGCCTCCTTTCGATGCCATTGTGAGCTCTACTGTCGGTATGAAATCTCAAAGGGGCCATTCTGTGGAAATTGTTTCCTTGAAAGACGAACAGTTTTGTTCCTTACGAGGTGTGAAGTGTACACCAAACACCTGAGCTACCTAACAATACGACTATATTGAGACTGATAAATGATGATTTGCCCATGGGTGATGAATTGAAATATTCTGCTCTAGTCAAAATTGTTTCCAAGGAGTCTTGGAAGCCCTAAACTAAGTATTTTAACTCAACCCTTCGGCCTTCGCTCGTTATTTGTCTATTACTGAAACCATCGCCGATCCTTATTTGTTTCTAGCTGATCCCCTGTCATTCGTATCAACCCTTCCTTGTCTATCACTAACTCGCTCTCACCCGCTCGTTAGGTGTCTTGTAACCAACCCCCTGCCCCTCCGCTGCAGGTGTCTGGAGGTGGAGGCCACCTTCCCGCAGGATTCGATGCTCGTTCTTCAGGTGCTCGACTGGGACCTGGTCGGTACTGACGAACTGATCGGGGAGACCCGTATCGACCTGGAGAACCGCTTCTACTCTCGGCACAGAGCCACCTGCGGACTGGACGCCAAGTTCGAGACGTAAGTCGGGTGATGAGACGCATAAAAGGGCCGGAGATGAGTGGAGTGTTGGAATCAAACCGGGGAAGAGTGTCAGATCTAGACCGAGGAGTGTCGGGGTTGATGACATCTCGATGAAGGTGAACTGTTGCGGCGGGGGCATGCCGTATCGGGAGAGAACTTGGAACGGGTGAAGAAGAACATAACAATAATATGGTTAGGGGTCGATAGTAGCCTTCTGTGTAGCCCGTTGATTCAAACTCCTATCACTGACTACAACTGGCCGTTTTCTATCGTTAGGTCGGGCTACAACGCCTGGCGGGACCCGATGCGGCCTACCCAGATCCTGCACAAACTGTGTAAGGAGAACAAGCTGGATGGACCGCACTATCAGCAGGGCTACGTCCGCATCGGCAACAAGACGCTGGCGCCGCCGGCACCGGAGGGCACCGGTCCCGACGCGCACGGTACGGGTGCTGGGGGTCTGTGGGACGGGTGACTGTGTGTCTGTCTGTGCTTCTGGCTTCTCATACTATTACTGTGATCAGTTCAGTATTTGATTTAAGGTGTATACTTTCTAAGGTACGTAGTTCAGATGCCTAGTAAATATGGTTACTCATCTGTTATTTTAGCTGTCCCTAATAACCTGCTAACTGGTGATGTTTTTATCGCAATATCCGCAAGGTAATAATGCTTTTATGTAGTAAAATTAATACTGTCAAAATAGATAAAGTGTTTTCCAAGAATTTGATCCTCAAACTCAATAACGACAAATTAACCATGTAAAAAAGACTTAACAGAGCAGTATGATGTGAAAAAGTGCTTAGTCATCACTGAAGTTTTGTATCGCCTCCCCACTTTCCATTTCATGATAAAGACCTCCAGTAGCCGTTGATGAGCTCGTTTATAAGCAGGTGTCGCCAGTATTATAGATCACCTAATGGGCCATTGTCCTATCGTTCAGCCCGCCAGCCACTCCCCAGTGGCGATTGTAACATCCAGGCTCAGCACGGACCTTTATTGGCACCGCTCCAACTCCAGACTCCGGCCGCCGCTCCGGCCCGGCGGTCGGCACGCTCCCACCGCCACTCAGCTGACCCAGCGCCCTGGGTCATAGACCGCAGTCAGGGGCCTACAATCAAGCCGGCCCAGTGACACTCAAACCATCACATTACCTCCCTCCAAAAAAAAAAAAAAAACAACAACAACAACAACAAACAACAAACGCCATTCCTGGCTCAGTAACGAAAAGAACACAACAGCTACACAGAAGTCTCAAGTGTTCATTAACACATATCTACCCAGCACCGGGTCTGTAATAGTCCGGCTTGCGTCGTTCACGCTGTGATCGACGCAGTGTGACCGACGGAACACCTTCCGCTCTCTCTAGTGAGCCCGACAGCCCTCGGGACACCAAAGAATCCCGAGTCACGCCCGTGGCAGTCCCTTCGCTCAAAGTCTGACTCTGATCACCTGTACACGCGCGCGCACTCGAAGTCTGATCACCCGCACACACGCACGCACCAGAGGGGAGACGAGCAGCCGGAGACGACTGTACTCCGGGACTCTCCGAGCTCTGCTCAGGCTGGCCGGCGTCAGCCGCCGGTCTCCGGTCCGAGATCACCACGGGATCCTCCTGCTGATCGTCCTCCAGCCAACTCTCGTCCGGCTCGCCACCCGCCAGGTCACGCCTCTCCCGCAGCCGTCCGAAGTCGCAGACGTCCGTCTCCGTGCGATTCTTCGGAGCAGAGTCGCCCGCAGACCGCAGCTGATCGAAGTGACGGCGCCACAGTCGACCATCGTCCAGCCGGACCTCCGCCATCGTTGCACCGAGGAGAGAGACGACCACTCCGGGCGACCAAACCGGTCCGCTCCCGAAGCCTCTGGCGTAGACTCTGTCGGACACCTGAAATTGACGGCCTTTAGTACGCATATCATAGTACTCTTTCTGTCTATCCTTCTGCTGCTCTACAGTCCGTTCCAAGTCCGGTTTGAGAAGTTGCAGTCTCGTCTTTAACTCTCGACCGAACATCATAGACGCAGGCGTTACCCCCGTTGTTGCATTGGGTGTTGAATGGCAGCTGATCAGCCATTTAGCAAGTTTGACGGACATGGTTCCGGAAGTGGATCTTTGAAGCGCATACTTTACTTCCTTGACGTACCTTTCCGCCAACCCGTTACTTGCCGGCCTGTGAGGAGCCGTCCTCACATGACGGATGCCGTTCCTCCTCGTGAACCGCTGGAACTCCTCCCCGATGAAGGCCGGACCGTTGTCCGAGACGATGGTGTCCGGGAGGCCGAACCTGCAGCACAGCAAACGAAAAGCATCCACGGTAACAGCGCTGGACGTAGAAGTCGTCAACACAACCTCCACCCATTTCGATGTTGCATCAACGACCACCAGTACATACTTCCCATTCACAGGCCCGCCGTAATCGACATGAATTCGCGACCAAATTTTTCTCGGCCAATTCCACTGATGTAGCTCGTTTCTTACAGGATGGGGCCTGGTTTGTTGGCACCCATCGCAAGAGCGCACGAATCGCTCGATGTCTCCATCTATATGAGTCCACCACACACATGTTCTCGCCACAGCTTTCATCCGACTCACCCCAGGGTGTCCTTCATGTAGCTCGTGTAAAACGTGCTTCTGTGCCTTGGCAGGCACGACCACGCGGCTGCCCCACAGCAGCACTCCGCGGATCACCGACAGCTCATCTCTCCTGTGGAAGAATGAGCGGATGTCCTCCTCGTCAGGCCACTCACCAGTCTCTATGGCCTGCCGCACCCGACTCAGCAGAGTGTCCCGAGACGTCAGCGCAGCAATCCGGGAGGAGTCCAATGCAAACTCCTCCTCCAAGCTCTGCAACAAACACACCATCTCAGACACCTCATGGTCACGCTCCTTCGAGACGGGAAGGGGTAATCTGCTGAGACCATCGGCATGTCCTATCTGCGTCGTTGATCTGTACTGAATCGTGTAATTGTACGCGGATAACCGTAGCGCCCATCTCGAAATCCTTGCGGATGCTGTCGCCGGAATCCCTTCATGCTCACCGAACAGTTTGACCAGTGGCTTGTGGTCAGTCACCAAAATGAATTTGTCATTTCCAAACAAATACTGGTGAAACTTCGTGACGCCAAACACCAAGGCCAACGCCTCCCTCTCAATTTGGCTCATTTTCTGCTCAGCTTTGGATAGCGATCGTGAAACAAACCCCACCGGCTTCTCGGACCCATCTCCGTATCTGTGTGAGAGCACTGAGCCAATGCCAACAGAGGATGCGTCACAAGTGAGCACAAGAGGAACGGTTGGATCAAAATGCGCCAGCACTCGTTCCGACGTTATCAACGTTTTTGCCTCATTGAAAGCACTCTGCTGCTTTGGTCCCCAGGCCCACAAAGCATCCTTTTTCAAAAGCTCATGCAATGGTGACAGTACCTCAGATCGGTTTGGTAGAAAACGAGCATAGTAATTCAGAATGCCCAAGAAACTTTTCAGCTCTGACACGTTTTTGGGACTTGGCGCAGAGTGGATGGCTCTCACCTTCGCCTCTGTGGGGTGACAGCCCTCAGCGTCGATCCTGTGTCCCAGGTACTCCACGCTGTCCACGCAGAATTTGCACTTCTTCTCCGACACACGGAGTCCGGCATCTTGCAGCTTCTCCAACACCGCAGATGTGCGCTGTAAGCAGTCGTTCTGGGATTTCCCAGTAATGAGCACATCATCTAGGAAAACACAGACACCAGGCATACCATTCAACAACTTCTCCATCTCTCGCTGAAACAACGCCACCGCCGAGTTGACACCGAAGCCCAGGCGTCGATACCTGAGAGGTCCAAGGTGAGTGTTAATCGTCAGGACATCTCTGCAGTCTTCATCCACCACGCACTGCTGGTAGGCCTGGCTCAGATCGAGTTTAGTGAAGACTTTGCCTCCCGCCAGTGAGGCAAAGAGATCTTCTATCCTTGGAAGTGGGTATTTGTCAACACGAATGGCACGATTTGCTGTCAGCTTGAAATTCCCACAGATTCTGACACTGCCGTCTGACTTTAACACCGGTACAATCGGAGCACCCCAAGCTGCATGTCCAACTGGTTCAAGCACACCCATGTCAATCTCTCGCTTTAGCTGCTCATCGACCCTTTTCTTCAATGCAAAAGGTAGTGGCCTCGGTTTATAAAACTTGGGAGCCACACTACTGTCAATGTCTAGTTTAACTTTCACCCCCTTGAGCTCACCCAGGCCTGGCCTGAACACTTCAGCGTATTTCTCTTTCAGAGCCGTGACATCATCACTTCCACTCACCGAGAAGATGTTGAACCAGTCCAGCTTCAGGTTCCCAAGCCAGTCGCGCCCGAGGAGGTTTGGTCCATCTCCTCCAACCACCACCAGTGGAAGCCATCTCGCCTGGTTGTTGTACTTCACGTCCGCGATGAATTCACCCACGACCGGAATCTTGGCTCCAGTGTAGGTTCTGAGGACAGACTTTGGCTTCTTCAACTCAGGAGTCGGATGTATCTCCTGAAACGTCTTCACATTCAAAAGCGAGACAGCCGAGCCCGTGTCAACCTCCATTTGTATGACTGTGCCCTCGACATCAACATCAACAATGACCGGCTGAGACGCATTTTGAACGGCGTTGACTACGGTATGAATCCTATCTGAATCAGAATCAGACTCGTGTCAGAAATGGGCGGGTCCCTTTCCACCAGCCTGGTTGTCCCTTTCCACCAGCCTGGTTGTCTGGGACAAACCCCTCGTCGGGTTTGAGACTGTTCTCCGCTCCCTCTGGGCACTACACAACGGCGTGCTAAATGTCCAATTTTTCCACAATTGAAACATTTGAAGCTGGCGTAGCGACATGTTTGGGCCGGATGAGAACGGCCACAGCGGTGGCATGGCTTACCGCGACTGCGTTGGCCGGCGTGCACTTCATTGATCCCACCCGGCGTCACGTCCCGACCCGGCACAGAGATCTCGTTGACGGTGCTCTCCTGTCCTCCGATGATCCTGGCGTCCCTGGAAGCCGCTTCTAGTGACAGACAAATCCGGTTAGCCTGAGAAAACGTCAGTGTCTCTTCCGACAACAACTTCCTTTGCATCTGAGCATCATTCACTCCACATACCAAACGATCTCTCAACATCTCATTCAGGGTCTCTCCAAAAGAACAGTGCTCAGTCAGCTTCCTCAGCTCAGCGACATACTCTGCTACTGACTGGCCCTCCTTTCTACAGCACGTGTTAAATTTGAATCGAGCCACAGTCACAGACGTTCGAGGTTTCAAGTGACCATTGAGCAAAGTCACAATTTCTGTGTACGATTTGTCACCGACTTTGCCTGGCGACACCAAACTCCGTAACACAGAATAGGTATCCTTACCGCATTGTGAAAGCAGGTAGGACTTCTTCTTGCCATTGTCAGTCACATTTCTTGCATCCAAGTAAAACTCAAATCTCTCGAACCACTCTTCCCACACATCTTCGCGTAAATCAAATGGGGCTAAACTGAAGCCTTCAGCCATCTTCCATAGCACGATATTCACCTCGTCGCCAATTGTAACATCCAGGCTCAGCACGGACCTTTATTGGCACCGCTCCAACTCCAGACTCCGGCCGCCGCTCCGGCCCGGCGGTCGGCACGCTCCCACCGCCACTCAGCTGACCCAGCGCCCTGGGTCATAGACCGCAGTCAGGGGCCTACAATCAAGCCGGCCCAGTGACACTCAAACCATCACAGCGATATCGAACGTCAGTCGATCATTTAATTAGGGTCTTGGTACGGCCCGTGTCTGTACTGTCACGCTCTATGGGAAGCTGTTATAAAACATGCATCAGCTAATGCTTTATTTGCCGATGTTTCCGCCGAATAGCGACCGCCATTCAGCATGGGAAACATTCAGGGGATAATTGTCGCGTTTACGGGAAGCATCGACGCTCATACTGTGTCGCTTATTCATAAGCATTTGATTATGAATAGGTAAATTAATAATATTGTATTTGTGTTTTGTTAGTTCTTCATGTGCCCTTTTGTCATCGATTGTCCATTCAGAATGAAAAAAGACCGTTTAATTGGAAAACGAAAAAGCAACATTTTTGCCATTTTTATCTGACCCGTGCTAGTACATCTGCTATTTGCTCGGAGACTTGTCGACTGCTACCGTTCTCCGCACAATGACTGTCATCCAGTGATCGACAGCCGCGGAGCCCTCTTAGGGTGATCTGTCACTCTTCCCTGTTTCCCGTCCACCCGCTCGGTCATGACTGTTATCCTGGGACCGGCAACCGATGAACATTTTGAGGGGCCCGCCACCGTTCCCTGTTGTGATTTTTGTCCTATGGTTCGCAGTCGAGGAGCCCTCTTAGGTTTCTGTCACCTCCCCCCCCCCCCTTTCCCTGACAGCCGAGGAGCCGTCTGAAGAGGACCTGTAACCGCCCCTGTGTCCTCTGTAGAGTGAGTATTGTCCTGTGATGACTATTACGCTGTAACCGACAGCCGAGGAGCCGTCTGAAGAGGACCTGGCTCTGGCGGCGCTCCACCAGTGGTCCGAGATCCCGCGAGTCGGCTGCAAACTGACCCCCGCACACATCGAGACCCGGCCGCTTTACAACCCCGAGAAACCGGGCATCGAACAGGTCAGCTGATACGCGATAGTGCGTCACTGTAGCAGCGCTGTTTCGTAACGTTTTAGGTTGGATACAAGGTGGTGTGTCAGAATATGACAGTAACAAAATGAGCAGAGCTGGGCAAGTGCGTTCCTTTAGTGCGTTCCTGCGTTCTTCCGTACGTACGCACCGCCCTTTTTAGGAACGCAAGAACGCAGGAACGCAAAGTTTTTCAAAGGAACGCAAGTAAGAGGAACGCACCACCCGAAATTGTAAAGCGTTCCTGCGTTCTTGCGGAACCACCCGAAAATTATATTGCTGCCAATGAACTCTGTGTCAAATGTTTGAATCTCGAGTACGTGTGTTTGCCGGGAGGCGCCACTTGTCGGTCGAATCGAGGAAGGCTTGCTTAGATTTAGTGGTGATGTTTACTATTCGATTCGGTTTCAGGCATTAAATGTGTAAAGATTTTTAGTGGTGATTGTTATGTAATGGGCCGTGTGCACACCTGTGCAGACCCCTGCCTGGGCATTGGCGGTGGCCGATATGTGAGTTGCCTGCTACTGTGTGTGTGATACCTGGGTCGGTCCCTGCCCAGGTCAGGGACTGCCTGAGGGGACGACCCTCCTGTCGTCCCCACCACCGTGCTACAATACAGTCAGTCGGAACCGAGCGGTGGTGTGTCGATGGTGGGCCGCGAGACATAACAGTGATGTTTACTATTCGATTCAGTTTCAGGCATTAAATGTGTAAAGTAAATATGATAACTTTTACTATGATACATCTTTTAACTTAACTATTGTTTTTAAGCAGGTCGTATTTTTGTTGAAAACCCTACGGATGATATTGGTAAAACGTATTTCAGATATTCGATTCGGAAAAGAGATGTCGAGTTGCTTTTCGGCCCCACGTCGCCATTCTGGGTATTCTGTGATCGATTCGCCCCGTGTTTGGTTGGGCCCGCGCCGCGTGGTTCGGCGGTATTTTTGAGGGAGGAACGCAGGAACGCAGGAACGCTAACGCACCGAACGAAAAAAATTAAGGAACGCTATTCCAGGAACGCACTAACCGCGGCCGGAGGAACGCAGGAACGCTAACGCACTACCGAAAATCGAGGAACGCGCCCAGCTCTGAAAATGAGCATTGTTCTGGTAGGCGCTTGTTAGCTTACATGAGCTGTAGTGCCCTCCTGAAACCCGCACCAACACACAGACATGTTTCTGGTCTCAAACCCTTGTAGTTCAAACCCGAGTGCCTCATTACTGAGGCAAGCTTCATCCCCAGGGCAAGCTGGAGATGTGGGTGGACATGTTTCCGATGGACATGCCGCTGCCTCCTCCGCCGGTGGACATCGCGCCGCGGAAGCCCAAGTCCTACGAGCTGCGCGTCATCATCTGGAACACGGACGACGTGGTGCTGGAGGATGACGCCTTCTTCACCGGCGAGAAGATGTCAGACATCTACGTCAAGGGGTGCGTATCTCGGCATTGCGAAATGTAGAAAATTATCAACGTCAGTTTTTTCGGCTGGTAGGTCAACCTCTGTCTTGCCCTCACAGTCTTGCACACTGTTAACAATAAGGTTAATGTTTGTAGTATGAAGTGATTCGATATCTTTTATTGGAAATTTCAGCACACTTCTGCGTTCCCTTACTCAAGGACTTATTTCCCCTGTATTTTCCAGCTGGGTGAAGGGTCCCGAGGATTGCCAGTGCACCGACATCCACTACCGCTCGCTGACCGGCGAGGGCAACTTCAACTGGCGCTTCATCTTCCCCTTCGACTACCTGGTGGCCGAGCAGAAGATCGTCATCTCCAGGAAGGAGTCGCTCTTCTCCTGGGACGAGTCCGAGTGCAAGATACCCGCCCGCCTGGAGCTGCAGGTATAGTGAACTAACCATCTAAAAAAAAAAAAAAAAATAGGAAAAACGAGAATCTATTAATTTACCCTGTTTAAACTGTTTTCTTTGAACTGTTCAGTAACCGGTTTTTAGCGATTTTTGTATCAGAAGATGTGTTCATAACATACCTAAGCACCTTATTCAGCCTCAGGGCGATCTACTGACAGCCCTTAGCAGTGTACGCACCCGGCATAGGCGTTTTAGAGCCGGTCACTACGTTTGGTCAGGGTGTCCCGTCAGCCATGACCGATCAGCTGACCCCTGAACACCTGGGGGAGATCGCCGAGTCGGACCCTCTGCGTGACGGTGGAGACGGCGGCTCGGATGGCCGAGTGGTCAAGTCGTCTGGGTGTGAGCTACGGCCAACCCAGGGAGATCGGAGGGTGCCGGGTTCGCGGCTTGTCATCAGTTACGTTTTGCTGTTTCTCCTGGCGTCCTACGCGCTGTCATGCGGCGCTGCGGGCCTGCCGGCGCCGGCTGCCGTCGGCTCGTGGTCGGCGGCGGGCGTGGCGGCCTTCCGTCATCAACAACTGAGGCGGGTGTGGCTCCATCGACGCATCCCGTACTACAGCAACAGCGTCAGTACGTTTCAGCCATGCCTGCTCATCCAGTCTGGAGACGTGGAGACGAACCCGGGGCCTGTCTCTGCCGCTGCCGCTGTTTCCGCCGCCCGTCCCGCGGTCCGCCGGGGGGCCGGGCCTGGCCGTCCGCCGCTTGTCGTCTCCTGCATCGCCCAGAACGTCCGCAGCGTCAAGAACAAGCTCCACACACTACGGAGCCATGCCGGAGAGCTGCAGACTTTCGACGTGGTAGCCATCACAGAGAGCTGGCTGACCGCGGACGTTGCTGACTCGGAGCTGCAGGTCGGCTGGCCGACCCACTCCTGGTTCAGGCGCGACCGGGACGGTCACGGCGGCGGCGTAGCGGCCGCCGTGCGCACCAGCCTCCGCCCGACCAGACGCGCCGACCTCGAGCCGCCGGACTGTGAGCTGCTGGCCGTGCAGCTCTGCGCCGGCTCTCCAGTCATCGTCGCGGTCTGCTATCGCCCTCCCGCTGCCGACACCCAGGTGCAGACCATCATCGACTTCGCCGCTCGGGTTCGCCAGCTAGGTCATCCTCTGCTGCTGGTTGGCGACTTCAACCTGCCGGAGATTCGCTGGCCGCAGCACGCACCGCCGGTCCTGGCTCAGCAGCTGCGGCGCGCGGTGACGTTTGTGGATGGTGTAAACGACCTTGGCCTGGACCAGACTGTGCATGAGCCGACCCGAGATGGTGCGATATTGGACCTGATCTTGTCGTGCGGTGGGGCTGCGCGCACCGACGTCAGAGACGGCACGTTCGAGTCCGACCACCGTGAGACGGTGACGCACTTCACTGTGCGAGCCGCGTCCCGCCCGCGAGTGACGAGAAGTGTCGCCCTCAACTACCGTGCGGCTGACTTCGTGGGTCTGCGGACGGCGTTGCGTCTTCTGCCGTGGATCACCTTACGTTCTTTGAGCGTGAACGAAGCAACGGAGCTTTTTTACGACTGGACACAGGCGGCAGTTAGGGATTTTATCCCTACTGTGGCACTGCGCAGTCGTTTCCCGCCATGGTTTACTCGTCCTGTAAGAGATGCTTTGCGCCTCAAAGAAGCAAGCTATCGGCGCAAGCGCTCTCAACCGTCCGAGGAAAATGACCGCATGTTCTCCGAGGCTCGGCGACGGTTCAAGGCCGCGGCGAACGCCGAGTATCGGTCGTACCTTGTGGGCCTGGTGGGTGATTTTCAGACCAACTCTAAAAGACTCTGGTCATTTCTCAAGTCTCTTAAATCTTCTCGCCACTGCTCTAGTAACCTGACTTATGAAGGACATGTTTACGACACGGATGTCGATAAGGCCAACTGTTTCAATCTGTGCTTTTCTAGAAAGTTTTCTGTTCCTGGTGCTCCGCTGGTTTCCTCCCAGCGGCCCCTGAGCTTGTTTCCGAGACGCTGCGTCGTTTCGAGTTTGCAGATGGCGCTGTGGAGCGATTGTTGCTTGAACTGAGCCCGCACAAGGCATGTGGCCCTGATGGTCTCAGCGCGCGTATTATGAGGGAGTGCGCTCGTGAGCTTGCCGTCCCGATAGAAATACTGTGCCGCATGTCTATCGAACAGGGTGTCTTTCCCGATGCGTGGAAGCATGCGAACGTGGTACCCGTCCACAAGAAGGGTAACAAGTGCTCCCCCGACAACTACCGCCCGG